AGAAGACTGACACAGTGCACCAGCACCCCAAGACATACAATGAAAGTGAAAATGTAATGTATAATGGTGTGTTTATAAAAATAATAATTTGGTTTACTTTCCTTGTTAATTCACTTGATAATATGTACACCAAATTTGGCCTTCAAATGTAATTTAATTCAAGGTGTTGGGGAGATAGTTCAATAGAATAAGTGCTTCCCTGGCAAGCACAAGGTCCTGAGTTCAATCCCCAGTTTTGAAAAAAAATTAATTCAAATAACAGAATCTAGTAAATATTTTGGACAAGGATTATATAGTCTATAGTTCCCACTTGTCCTACTTTACACCAAAAGGGAGCTACTAAAAACTTTTAAGTATTTTTGACCTCTGTATGTATGTATGTATGTATGTATGTATGTATGTATGTATGTATTTATTTTTGTGGCCAGCTCAGCTTACCCTAGGGGTGGGGCTGGCATGGCATCTGGTGCCAGGGACTGAATCATGGTCCCTATGCACTTGCCTAAGCTTGCCTAAGCAGGCGCTTTAGACCACTGAGCTATCTTGCTGGCCCTTATTTGTTTTTTATTAATCATTTCATTGTAAAACAAAAACAAAAACAAACTCTTAGCAATTCAGGTAAAACATATAATTTTATTTATTTATTTATTGAGACAAGATCTCATTATATAGTCGAAGCTTGCCTTGAACTTGAGATCCACCTGCCCCAACTTCTTGAGTTCTGGGGCTACAGACAAGCCAGCATGCTATTTTAAAAATACACATACTTTTTTCCCCCTGAAATTTCAGTAAAGGCACATGATAAAAATTTACCATGTCACTCTTTTTAAGTGTATACTTCACTGATATGAAATATATTAATCTTACTGTGCAATCATTACCACCAATCTTCCAGTCTTTTTCATCTTTCAAAACAGAAATTCTACACATCAAACATTATTTTCTCTTCCTAGCCCCAGATAATCATATTCCACTTTCTGTTCCTAAAGTACCTCATTAAGTGGAATCATACTTAATTTATATTTTATTACTGTCCCCCCTCCATTCTTATTGGCATAGAACATCTTCCATTTATTCATTTACAACCTGTGGCATTTCAATCTTTGGATTTAAAACACTGTCCTATTGACCCCATATATTTAGATTGTATTTTTCTGTCCATTTGGCTGATTTCTGACTTTTGATTGGCTAATTTATATTTAAGGAATTACTGATCAGAAGAGACTCAACTTCTGCCATGTTGTTTTATATATATCTTGTAGCATTTTTGTCCTATATTTCCTGTATTACTGTTCTCTTTTGTGTTAATTTTTGTTCATGAAATGTTTTAATTTCTTTCTCAATTTCTTTTGTGTATATGGACATATCCTATAGCCATTTTCATTGTTACACATTAAAACCTTATGTAATAATACCACAAGCTATTACTTTTTAAATAGATACTTCAGCAGCAGATGAATGTGTCTGTGTGTGATAGTAGGCACTTCAAAAAATCCAAATACAAGTTAGTTTTTTTTTTTTTTTTTTTTTTTGTGGAACCAGGGATTGAACTCAGGCCCTTGCACTTGCTAGGGAAGCACTTATTCCACCAAGTCATCTCCTTGGCCCCAAAGTTAGTATTATCACTAATGTTTCATTTGAGCAACTGTTGCCTCATTTCCATTCTTGAGACAATTCCAGAAGCTGTGAATATTCTTATGGCAGTCCTAGAGATCATAACAATATTAGCAAAAGTTTGCTCATTGCCATATGTATAGTATTTTCATCAGTTTCTGGACCACATAGCAGGTACTCATTAAATTAATGAATTACTCAATTAGTGAATGTGCTTCACATTAACTAGCTATGAATTGGGTTTTTTGGTACTGGAAATCAAACTCAGGACTTTGTGCTTGCCAGGTAGGCGCTGTGCTGCTGAGTTGTAGCCCCAGCCCCAGCCATGAATTGCTAATTATTTACTCCCTATTCTTTGGAAAAATGGATATTTATATTTTCAATTTCTTCTGACTAAAATTTTCTTTAATTTATTCCAGAAGATCACAAAATGGCTTTTACTTTAATTGGCAGCATTAAATGGAAACATAATACAGAAAAGATTGAGCAAAGCATGGAAGGTACCTCAACAAAGGAAGGTATCGTTCATGTTAGGAGGAATTAAAAAGCAAACATAAAGGATATAATACATTTTTAACCAGTTTTCTCTCTACTATATTTATACTAAGGTAAATATTAAATGGAAAAACAAAAAACAATGCAAATAATACATAAGAGTAAAAAACTAAAAGGGTATAGATGCAAACAATTATTGTCAATTTCTTTGAAGATCCTTGTGACACAGTATATTCAAAAATTTCATTACAACTGTCCTGTAAATATACTTTTACATTTACCAGCTTGTTTTAGCTGAGCTATTTGCTTTTTTTTTTTTTGGCAGAACACGGGGATTGAACTCAGGCCCCTGCGCTTGCCAGGGAAGCACTTATTCCACTGAGCCATCTCCCTGGCCCCACGCTATTTGCTTTTGAATCTGATAAGTACATGAGAAACTACATGAGAGATTATTTTAAAATAACAGGATTGAATTTTAATAGTAAAAACTGAGACAATGGATTGACGGAGTTTCAGTATATCTCTTATTTTGGGGAATAAAACTATCTTTGAAAGCTCAGATTTAAATGTCGTAATAGAAGTGAGACTTTCTATTAAGGCAATCTCATTTAACATTTTTAGTTTTAAATTAATGAACAGCACAGTTTAGCAAACTCATGGTAATAACAGGTCACTGAGCCTAAATTAAGACTATGTGACTGAAAGCTGTTGCTGCTGCTACTAACAATGGTGGTGTAAGGGGAGTGGAGCAGCTAAGGAACTACTAGACTGTGATGTTACGGATGGAACCTGGAAATGGAAAATATAAAGGCATACCCTTTGGAAAACTTTTGAATCTTGTCTCAATCACTCCTGTTTCACTAAAGCTGTGATACTGGCCTTATACAGAGCAAGGAGAAAAAAACAGGAAAATGTCTTTTTCCACAAGCCAATGTTTCTCAAACTTGGCCAGCACTCCAGGCAGTGGTTCAGCCATCACCAAATCAAGAGAGGAAAATGGCTGTTCACACCACACTCTCCTCTTCTTGCTAAGGTTCAGGCTATGGTTCAGGCTATGCCAGGAACAAAGTGGAGCTGGGATCAGGGAAGATGGCAAGCCTGTTCTGATTCAGGTAACTCCTATGAGGCTTTGTTTAAAATACACTAACACATATTCCCTGTGCTTTCCTGCTGTCTCTCTTCATCCCACAAGCTCTGAAGCACTTTTTAAAAACCTCTAGAGTCCTGAAGGAGTGTTTGGAAATGACTAGACTGACCTTCCACCAATGCAAGAATCCCTTATACAGAGTCCCTTCAGGCTCTTGCCCAGAATTTCCAGCATTTATAGTGCTGCACTATGTCTCAGGGTGTTTATTCTGAAGAATTTGAAAGTACTTCCTAATACCCAGATAGATCCAACTTGCTTCCTTCCTACCCTGATTTTTTATCTCAAGTTGTCTCTTTAGTTTCATGGTATAAATCTCTGCTTCTCTACTTGTCTGACTGATCAAATACTCCTCCATAGTCAATATCCACTTTCCAGTCCTATCTGCCTTGACAGCCCCTCCTTGTGCTCTGTGTTCTCTGGTTCCCTCAGTGTTTCTGCACAGATTTGCTGACACTTGTGCTTTATGGTCTTAGTTATCTTTGACATTCTTCATGCTTTCCAAAGAAGAACAACATCTCCTGAGGAATGGATAGTGTTAATCTGTTTTTATGACTATGTCCACATTCCTTCACTGTTCTGCAGCCAAGTAGATAATGTGTAGAGGTCTTCCATAAATTCTTCCTAACCACTAATAGATTACTTACTCTATACCATATTTCTTTACCTACTGAGCCTCTTCCTTCTTTGTTTTCTTTCCTCGTTAGTCATCATTTAAACCTGCTTCCCTCTATGGCAGGAAGTATTAGACTTAAACAATTATACATTGTAAACAAAACATGTTTCTTTGTTATGGGAGAGGTTTTATAGGTTACATACAACCTTCACAGGGTCCCATGACGCCAAAAAAATTATTAAAATTCTTACTATAATGCCCACCCTCTTTATTTTTATGGCACTGGGGACTGAAATCAGGGCCTTTATTTTTATTATTTTTTTTGTGTGTGTGGAACCGGGGATTGAACTCAGGCCCTCGTGCTTGCCAGGGAAGCGCTTGTTCCACTGAGCCATCCCCCCGGCCCCAAACGAACAGTCCCTACAGCTTCCCAACAGCTTCTCCTTCTTTTTTTTCTTTCTTTCTTTCTTTCTTTCTTTTTTTTTTTTTTTTTTCGTCTTTTTTTTTTTTTTTTTTTTGAAACCGGGGACTGAACTCAGGCCCTTGTGCTTGCCAGGCAAGCGCTTATTCTACTGAGCCATCGCCCTGGCCCTCAGGGCCTTTATAATGAACTACATCTTTAGACCTTTTGTAGTTTTTATTTTAAGACAGAGTTTTGCTAAGTTGTCCAGGCTGGGCTTGAACTTGTGATCCTTCTGACTGACTCTCCCAGAATAGTGGGACTATAGGCATGTGCTACCACACCTGGCTATGCCCTTTTCTTAACCAAATCTTTCCTATTTTCAAAAGTCCAATTTATGTCCCTGGAATCCAGAGAACTATCCATATTAAGAGCACACTTTAGGAAATAAATAAATTTATTTTGTGAAAACTTAAAATTAATATCTTCATTATGACTTCTTTTAATTTAATGTTTCTTGATTATAAACTCTTCATAGCAGTTTCAGAGTCTTAGCTGTATCCATATATACTTTCTACCAAGCAAGTATTCAGCAGATACTACTGTGGACACAGAAAAAGATGCTGAATCATCTTCAACTTCAGGTTGAAACTCAATTTCAAAGATGCACATCAGAGGTATGACACTGTTATTGGAACCAGGCCAAATGCCACAAATGACTTCCACCTTACCTCTGCTTTACGAATATTTTCTCTAGCTTCCTCTATTTTCTGCTCCACCTCTCCTCGGTTTTGTTCTGATAAAGGAACTCCATGACACTCCAGATCATTTAGAACCTACAAAAGAAAACATGAAAATTATGATGACTTTTTCTGTTTTATCTTCATTATTTTGTGGCTAGAGTAATTTAGATAATTCATCATGATCCCTTTTAAAATGTTTTATTCATTTAATTAAAAATTAAAAAAATAGGGGCTCCGGCGGCTGCGGCGGCGAAGGCATGGTGCCGCTGAGGGTCCTGGAGCTGTACAACGGCATCGGCGGCATGCACCATGCGCTGAGAGGCTGGCCTCTTAAGATTCTCCTGCCTCAGCCTCCTGAGTAGTTAGGATGACAGAAAGCTGTATACCTGCACAGGTGGTGGCCGCCATTGATGTAAACACTGTTGCTAATGAGGTATACAAGTATAATTTTCCTCACACACCATTACTGGCCAAGACAATTGAAGGCATTACACTGGAAGAGTTTGACAAATTGTCTTTCAATATGATTTTAATGAGCCCTCCATGTCAGCCATTTACAAGAATTGGCCTACAGGGTGATATGACTGATCGAAGAACAAATAGCTTCTTACATATTCTAGATATTCTCCCGAGATTACAAAAATTACCGAAGTATATTCTTTTAGAAAATGTTAAAGGTTTTGAAATATCTTCTACAAGAGACCTGTTGATAGAAACAATAGAAAATTGTGGCTTTCAGTATCAAGAATTTCTATTATCTCCAACTGCTCTGGGCATCCCCAACTCACGGCTCCGGTACTTCCTCATCACAAGGCTTCAGTCAGAGCCATTACCCTTCCATGCCCCAGGCCAGGTACTGATGGATTTTCCCAAAATTGAATCTGAACAGCCACAAAAACATTCAATAGGTGCAGAAAATAGAAGTGATGTAAAGCAAATTGAACCCAATACTTGTTTTGATAGCCCACAGTGCTCTGCCAAAGATATTGTTAAACCCGCCTGCAGAAGGTCCATGTGCTTCACCAAAGGTTATGGAAGTTACGTGGAAGGGACAGGATCCGTGTTACAGACTGCAGAGGATGTACAGATTGAGACTATCTACAAATCCCTTACCAGTTTGCCAGAAGAAGAACAGATAACAAAGTTGTCAATGCTTAAACTTCGATGTTTCACTCCTAAAGAAATAGCAAATCTCCTTGGATTTCCTCCAGAGTTTGGATTTCCAAAGAAGATAACCACAAAGCAGTGTTACTGTCTGCTTGGAAATAGTCTCAATGTTCATGTAGTAGCTAAACTAATCAAAATCCTGTATGAATAATTTTGAAATAACTCTGAAACATGGTTGTGGTATTCCTTCATCGCAGATAATAATTCTGAAATTCTATTTTGAATTAACTCTAATGAAATCAAAATAAAGTATTTTAATCTCTAATAAGAAAGTTAGATATTATTACCAATTTGCCAATCGGATTTATATTTCTGTATTTTTTATAAAATGAAAGTTATTGTTTTTGTCTTATAGGTAATATATTTTCATATGAAACTTGAATAAGTGTAAAATACCATCTTTATGTGGAATATGGTAGAAACAAATTTAAGAACATTCAAATATTAATGTCTATGTGAATATTTTATAAAGTATCATACTGTAACAGTGAACCTTTGAAATATGTAGTGTATTTTTATATGTTAATTTAAGAAGTCTTTGGAATCTTAACATTTTATTTTTTGTTATATAATTACACTTATAATGCTTTTTTATTTTAGCCTGTTTCAAATAATACTGTTTTACTTAGTCCTTTAAGTGTGATTTAATCCGAACAAATGCATGTAACATTTTAAATCAATTATCATGTAACATACAACAGTCTAAAGAATATATCAGAAAAATACTCCTGAATTCTTGATTATCTCTCCAATGGTGGCCTTAGGAGATGTAGGTGTGTTCTATACTCATCTTTTCTTCAGGTTCCATTTGAAGGTTTCAAACTTATTGCCCCCTCTTCATCTGCATGTACTTTGCTGTTATCAGACCTTGTTTTTGCTTCCTTTTTCTGATTTTGAGTTACATTTTCCACTACATCCTAAGGAATGTGAGTGTCATTTAGATTTTAGGAAGGAAATGATCTTCTGACCCCACTCTATATGGTGCTGATTTCTACTCTATATCCAATTCTTTTCACTATAGTAACATATGCCAAGAACTTTTGTAATGTTTAACTTTCTCCATCTCTCCCTGTCAAAAGACCAAAAAACTTTTCTTTCTGGTTTTTTGAAATGAGATCTAACTATGTAGTTCAGGTTGACTTTGAACTCATTATGTTGAACTTGATCCTCCTGCAATGTAAATGTAGATTATATGACCCAGCAATTCTACTTCTGGGTATATACCCTAAAAGAATTGAAAGTGAGGACTGGAACAGATATGTGTACATGAGTGTTTGTAACAGCATCATTCACAACTACCAAAAGTAACCTAATGTGCATCCCTTCAGTAGATGAAAGGATAAGTAAAATGTGGTATGTACATGTAATGGAATAGTATTTGGCAGTAAAACAGTGAGATTGTAACACAGGCCATGACCTGTAAGCATTGGTACATTATGCTAAATGAATAAAAATACAGATATTGTAAAAAAAATTAAAAAAATAATTACAGACTGACAGAAGTTGCAAAACTAATAGAGCGTTTTCATCTAGCTTTCTCCAGCGATAACGACATATGTAACTGTACAGTAGTTCCCCTCTTACCCTCCGGGGATACATTCCTAGATGTCCAGTGGATTCCTAAAGCCAGTGACGGAACCTTATATTTACTGTTTTCCTATATGCCCTGAAGTATTGCCCCACAGTACCAGAATTAATCCTCCTCCAGGGGCGGGGAGATGGCTCAGTAGAAAAGCACTTGCCTGACGAGTGCAAGGGTCTGAGTTCAATCCCCGGTTCCATTAAAAAAAAACAAAAACAAAAACAAAAACCCTCCTTCAATGTTTTATACCTTTTTGTCCTCTGCATCACTACTCTTGTATTTTGGGGTCATTATTAAGTAAAACAAAGGGTTACTTGAACACTGACACTGTCATACTGTAACAATCAGCTAAGCAAGATGGCCACTAAGTGACTAACAGGACAGGAGGATACATGGTGTGGACATGCTGGGCATGCATACTTTCAATTTTAAAGTTTACATGAATATAGAGTACTGTTATGAACAATCAATGAATAATGACAGTGTCCCCACTGTATCGCACAATTCACCATGTGCTCTCTACCCCAAGGAAATACCATCCCTTCAATTTATACGTATTTTTCCAAATCATTTTAATGTATTTCTGATCATATAGAAATGCAAACAGGAAATTTTAAGAAATGCTTTTCATGTCTGTATAATTAGGCTGACTTCATTCTCCTTAATTAACTGATAGATGCAAGAGTTTATCTGTACTATATTTTATTTACTCTTCCTCTATTTCTACTTGAATTTTCAAACTTCCTAACATTATAAATAGTACTGTACTAAGAACCTCATTAATGAGTCTTAGTATATATCAGAATATTTAGGATAAAAACATAAAAGTAGAGGGCCAGGGAGATAGCTCAGTAGAATAAGTGCTTGTCTGGCAAGCACAGGGTCCTGAGTTCAATCCCCGGTACCACAATAAAACAAAACAAAACAAAAAACCCATAAAAGTAGAAATTGTAAAATTATACATTTTAACATTAATAGACATTGCCAAATTATCCTTAAAAGGTTGCATAATACATTTAACCATGGAAATTGCCAATTTTTAAAATTATGCCAATATAATGTTTTATAATACTTATATTATTGTTCCCAAAAATATTATTATTCTCATTATTATGTTTCTGATTAACAGAAAACATCATTTCATGTGTTACTGGCCATCTCAATTTTTACTTCTAAATCATGGTATCTTGCCTCAGCTTCTTGAGCAGCTGGGATTAAGCAGTGGACTGACACAACCTGCTAAACTTTTCAGTTTTTATACGGTCACATTTATTAAGCTTTTCTTTATAGTTTCTAGTTTTGTGTCTTATTTAAAAAGGTATCTGTAGTATGCCAAAAATGTTATCAGATGGAAGAGAGAAATCTAATTTTAATGTATTTTTTTTTCCTAAGCACAAATACAATTTCTTTAACACTGCTTGCTCAATCATTTCCCCAAAGATTTGAAATGCCTTTTTTTATAGTGGTGATTGAACCCAGGACTTCATTCTTGTGAAGTATACACTTTACCACTGAGACACACCACTAGCCCATGTTTGCTATGAGAAATTTTAAATATATTAACATCTAGTAAAACAAATTCCCAGATATCAATCTCTGTGATTCAAAATGTCAAGATTTTTCCACATTTGCTTTATCTATCCTTTTCATTAGCTACTACATTTTTATTGTATTCATTTATTTTTTTGCAGTACCAGGGATTGAACTCAGGACCCTGTGCTTGCCATGCAAGCACTTATTCTACTGAGCTATCTCCCTGGCCCCTAGCTAGTACATTTTAAAGCAAACTTCAGGTATTAACTTCATTCCTACATGCTTTTATGTGAGTCTCTAAATACGTGAATTTTTTATACAACCAAAATACCATTATTGGACCCAACAATAATTTCTTAGTATTCTCTAATGTGCAGCTCATCATTAATTAGCTTTTCACAGTTGGCTGGTTTGGAGTAGTATCTTAGTAAGGTCCTTATATTAAAACACAGATCGGTTCTTTTGTAGGTTTGGCAACTCCTGTGTTATACCATCATTTTGCTTTCTATGGTCATTATTGTAGAAGTCAGTTGGTGGTAAGGCACATGAGTCACTGTTGTTCTTTATTTCTTTAACTGCACCAAAGTCTGCAGGATTGTATTACAGTAAACAAAGATAAGTGTTTTATGGTATTTCCCCCCAGTGTTTCATGAATTGTCAAAGCAATTCACAACTAGAATGTAACTCATAATAGAGTGCTTCAGCCAGGCATGGTGGAGCATGCTTGTAATTCCACCACTCAGGAGACTGAGGCAGGAGGATTGTCATGATTTGGAGACCACCCTGAGCTTCACAGTGATCTCAAGGTAAGCCTGAACTACAAAGCAAGACCTTGTCTCAAAAAAAAAAGGTCCTTTAAGTGATTTAATTGAAATGCCATAACCTGACTTTTATTGCTACCTCTACGCATGTTAGGGTCAGTGACATAGCTCAGCATAGCAAGGTCTTGAGTTTGATTTCCAGTAGAAAAAAAAATGAAGAAAATTTTAGATCATATTTTGATATATCTTTTCCCATGGTGATTTAGAGGATTGTAAAAATCAATATAAATATCTCATATATATTTGGCCATCTGAGTATATACTTGCATAACATCTCAAATCTTTCAGCAAGAAAAATGCTGCAGAATAAATACCTGTTACAACTAAGTACAATGAAAATCGCTCCAAATATTTGTTTCTCTGAGGCAAAGGCACCATACACCTGTTCAATTAAGAAAACCAGCCTTATAATTCAGGACAATTTTTGATTTTTAATCAGGGCCTAGAAGATTTAGCTGTTAATGAGTGCTGAACTGCAGAGCTGCATTCAGGTTGTGCCATGAATTCATAGGGAATAAGGTCTAGCGACTCAACTCTGAGTGTCTGAGATGCTCAATACACATCTTAATTCTGTTGGCAAATACTTTGTCCTTAACTTGCTTGTTTTATAGCATGCTGGGTAATTACTGTACTTTTCAGTTTTGCCACAGTAACATTTATGTGACATTCCTTTTGAATAGTACTCATTCCCTGGATATCTATGATATTACCCAATGGCCAAAGGAACAATGCCATGTTTCTAAAAGGCCTAGAGCACATATACTGGTTCCTTTCCTCTTTCTGTTTGTGATTTAAGCAGATTACTTGGAGATGGTGGCTCCAGCTGAAGGGAAAGTCATTGTTGTTCCTAGATATTCTTGTATACTTTAAAAAAATTACAGAAACATTTTTAGAATCAGAGTCTCAAATTACTTTAAAACTGTCTTGTAAATTTAGTATAACACCTGCATTTTTTTGCATCTCCCCAATCACATCGCTATGTTCTTTGACTAAAAAAGTTTTTCTTCTTATAAGTCACAAGAGTTTCCTTATTGATTCATGAATATTTTGTGGTGAATAACTATTTTCAATTTATTATAACAATAGATGTGTCTTTCCTAATATTTAGTAGAAGTTGAAAGATTTATACATTCTGAAGAGAAACCAGAGTATTTTCCTAATATTTAGATCTCTTACATATTTTTCGTTCCCTAATGTATTAACTAATCAATCCTCTGTCAAATGGTATGCTTGAGAGGTACAACGGGCTCTTTTAAAAACCAACCTTGCCTATTTAGCAACAGAGTTCACTGGATGAGTGTGGGTTTTAAGCTAGGTTGTTCAACTGCTCAACAATCAGCC